GCAAGCCTCCTTTGAAGAGGCCGAAGAAAGCAGAGCGCTTACCTAATCTGCTCACCAAATGCAGATTTTTTTCTGGAGAGTGGTCTGAAGTCACCCAGCTCCTGTTAAGCAGCAACAAACCCTTTTCAAAGTACGATATAATTCTCACATCTGAGACCATCTATAATCCTGACTACTACAGTGCTTTGCATGATACACTGGCTCAGCTCTTGCATAAGAACGGCCGAGTGTATTTGGCAAGCAAAGTACATTATTTTGGGGTTGGTGGTGGTATCTACCTCTTTGAGAAATTCATTGAGGAGAGAAACGTGTTTAGTACCAGCATAGTTAAAATAATTGATAAAGGACTGCAGCGATGTATTATGGAAATGGCCTTTAAAGATGCCAGTGAAAATTCAACTACTGGTCCTTCAAAAATATCTTAGAGACAAAATGGTTTAGTCCTCATATCTTTGCTTTTTTTCTCTGTTCAATTATTCTGGTTTGACAAATTAAGGATGCTTGTTATTGAAATGTTTGACAAATTCTGATGTCTGACTAGAAGCGAAAGACTCCTCTGATTCTGGTTTTTACATAGAAAAATGAAGTTCTTAAATGACCACCTGTTTATGCTAATTAATTGTCATTTATATGTATTTAAAAATGAAGCAAGTCACTGTCCCCAGTCCCTCTCACATTCTTTGGCAGTGCCAGAACCATATGTCACCAGAGCGGCTGCTGTGCGCAGCCTGAACTAGAGATCATTTAACATCCCAAAACACTGAGCATCCTGATGTAGTGCAGAAAGTGTTTTTTGAGGATTAGGCTCCCAACTCAGATACAGTTTAACTGCAGCAACGTATTTCAGAAGCTACTGCACATACCTGTGCTCTGCTGCTTTGCCACCAGAGGGGGATGTGATCATATTTATCACTTGTGTCCTATTCTGCTAGTAATCTTACATGTGTTTAATATTTCCATATGTAATGCACAAGTGCATTATTCAAGCCTTTGAAAAAGTATACCAGAAAACATGTACTAGTGTGGTCTGTGAATTTTCAGATTCAGATTTTGACATATCATTAAGAAAATTTCACCAAGTAATTGGAAAAAGCCGTACTGTTTTTAAAAATGAGTTAAGACTGATTTGGTTTAGAAGCTGAGTTCACAGAAGATACTATACAAGAGAATTTCCTTAAAATAACCAACCAATAAACCTACAAATGCAATCCAGGAAACTGGAGGATGACAGAACTGAGCTTTAGGTGACAAGTAGGAAAAGAGATAAGCTGCACTGTTATAGCAGATTGCTGTACTGTACTGTAATGGGTTTTTTAAAAAAAAATTTCCAGAAATTAACTGCCCATACACTATGGCCCATTTTCAAAACCTGTTGGGGGTACTACTGAACACTGTCACACTTCAACCTTTCCAGCAGTTGAGCAGGGCAGCAAACATTCAGAAAAGCCCGTGGACAAGTCACTCCTGTGTCCTAGGCTGAAGATTGTGATGTTGCTAAAGAACTACCAAAAATGCAAACAAACCCAAAGAACTACAAAATCTGGTCCCAAGTGCTTGATATCACCAGCAATTCACACAAAAATCCATTGCATGTTCTGTCATAACTAAAACTGGACAAAAAGCTATTAAACAATTCTACCAGGTATATCAAGCTACTGCTTATCATCATGCTGTGCTTTACTGGGTGCCCTTGCAGAAACACAAACAGTCAACCACTGCAGTAAACTGATGCAAAGATACTCAGTGGAGGGGAGAAAGAACAATAGTCTGAGGGGATGGAAAGAAACTTATTACAGCAGTGACCCAAGTCACTTTAATTATTGCATAAAGTTCCCGTCATTGAAGACTATGAAAGCCAACTGCAAGATTCCTATGTTGACCATGTTGCTATTAAGATAGAATCATAGAGGATTTCCTGTACTTTACAGAAGAGCCTTAACAACTACTGTTGTTTCAAAAACAATTCTAAGTAGACTGTTTTAAAGGGATGCTTGGATAACTACCACAGTTGTTATTTGGGGGGGGGCACACGGGAGCAGTCAGTTGTGCCATGGCTGTGACTGCGCTTTGGAATTTTTCTGCATCAAGTCTGAAACTTACTGATGATAGACAGCTGCTGACTACAGATTGAGAAACAAAAAAGTTTTCACTTTGGCAGATCAATAAAATACTGTTAACAGTTCTTTCTCATCAAAACTAGGAAACAAAGCAACTACCACTTGCCATTTTTCAAACCTCAGTTATAAGACAAATTGTGGCTTTCACATAGTGACCGAGTAGCTTGTTCTACACCTGCTAGGTCTAGTGCCATTTCAGAGAACAGTACCTGAGGTAGTAAGAAATGTTGACAATGAATATGGTTAAGAACAAGAATCTTAAGTATTTTTTGATGAGCAAAGGCAGCATTTAGAATCTTCTACTGTAATGCTTCCTCTTGAAAATATTCCACAATCAAACTCACTGTTTGGGTTTAATATACTACTCCTTTACTCAGTAGCCTCATTTTATTATTGGATTGCTCAAACATAGCTCTGTTTTCATGCAGATACAGAATTAGATTTTTTTATAGGACTTTCAAGTGAAGACTGCTAGAGCCATAATTAAAGTGATCACACACTTGCAAAACAGGAAACCCCACACAGTATAATTAAGTTTCCATTTCAGAATTACAGATGAGGATTAAGAATCCTTTTCTTAGGTGAAATCAACAGAATTAGTATTGGGATTTCCATAATTCCAGGTGATGTATATACTATTTTTAAAAGTCAGCAGATATATATATCCTGAGAGGAAGCAGAATCCAACACTTAGTTTTGTAGGCTGGTTGTTCTGTTTGTGTTTCAACATCAAATACTGTTTTCCCTAATCTACATAAAGGCTTTCTCTACCTGCCAAATCACCACCCCAGTGACCAGTTTCTTGCTTCTCTTCATGATCTGGAATAAAAAAATCTATCACTCATTTGTAATACTTGTACATATTATTTAATAGCTAGAGAAATTAGCATTTCCCTAAGTGACACTGCATAAGAAAGTACAAGAATTGAGAGGACCCTCAGAGCATTTTTTAAACCCTCACATCAGGCCCAATTTCTTGTGTGAAGAAACAAAGGTAGACATCATCTGGTAACTCAATTTATTAACTCATTACAAATCACCACCCCTTTTCTCACCTATGCCACCCCCTCACTTTTTGAAAGAGTCATCACAGTAAAAATCCGGTCTAAATTATGCCTTTCCTGTAAGTATTGTGGAGGAAAACATTAAAATCAGTCTCGACATCTCAGGAAACTAAATTTAAAAGCTTGTTTGTTTTAACAGATACTCTCCTTAACTGATGACTTCCCTTTGAAGACTATTTGCTAGTTTTGGGAAATGAGGCTATTAAAAATCAGTTTTGTATACTGGCACCAATTAAATGGTATCCGTTACAGTTACTTTACTAAGGCTTAAGGGAAAAAACCCATGAGGAAAATTGCAGTGGGAAGTGCCCTATTTGCAAATTATTGACTTGCATGCTATTCTTGGTTACTAGGTACACAGGCATTTAATCATGTTCTGAAATCAAAATCTTGTTAAGAAAAATCAAACCTACAATCAATGTTATCATGGCATTTGAAGTGGTACAGCCAGACAACTATTGCATGAGAGAAGAAAAAGAAGCACAAACAGCAGATGCAAAAGCTCAGAGGTGCTGGAGGAGAAAGTCCAGGCTGCATGTAGAGGCAAACAGGTGCCAGGTTCAAGAGATCCTGTTCCCAGGTGATTATTGGAATGGGGATACTTGGGACTCTTCTAATGAGGAATGGACTGAAAGGTCCGAGGACAAGAAGAAATCCTTTTCTGCCCAACCAATCAAAATAAAGATACAGAAGGGTGACATAAGATGGATAATTAATGTAATAAGGCACTAACAGGAGGATTTTTTGTAATAGAAATTGGACTAAAGCCTCTCAAATTTCATATTGTTTGTACTTTGAGTCACATACACATTGGAAAGAAAGCCACTAGACACCACAAGATACTGGTAGATAAGTGCAGTAGGAACCACACACAGCAAAGGGAAGAACCAGGATTTTTATACAAATAGCTCTTGAAGACTGCAAGTCAACAGTGTAGGCATTAGAACAAGAGGTACTGCCTTGAAATCCACAACAGCATTCAAGAGAAGACTGGCAGGAAACAAAAAAAGTGAAATTGTAGCAAGTAACAAATGAAAGGCAACATCCTGCCACAACAGGAGGAAACAGGTCACATAAGTTAAATTCAGAGACTGCCTCGGTGTATTGGGTCTGGCTGAGAGGTAGTTATCTGTAAGGTAATTATTGGCATAAAAAAAGGAAAAAGCATCATACTCATGGGGAATAAAAGTAGTCCAAGGGAATCAGAATGAAACAAGTATTGTCAGAATTTGACATTGCCATCAGTCTGCTATAGGCAAGGATCTTACAGGAACACAAAAGATCTTGATCGTTACTTGTGTGGAACACAAATACTGATTTTTCAAAGTAAGTGGAGTAAATCAAAGATTTAGATCATTGGTGAAGAACTGTAAGTCAACCATACCCTCCCCTTGATTTCCATAAATGCAGATAAGTTGAGAAGCCTAAAGAGCAATGGAAAATAAAACAAAATACTGGTCAAGAGACCAGGGAACAGGTTTGGTCCTGTGGTGTTTAAGGCAATGGCAAAGTCCTAATGTATCCTATAGTATATATCAGCAATACAGGATTGGATGAAAACAAACTGCAGGTAAGATGTGGGAACATTTAATTAGATGCCATGTCAAGAGTAGCAGGAAAAAGGCTTAGAACTGCAGATTCTGCACAAAGGAATCATCTGAAAAGTAAGACATATCTGGGAGTTACTAACAGTATTATAAATTACAGCAGAGTCCAGATTTATGGTAACATACATAGAAGATACATTCCATTTTATTTATCAAAGTACAGCTCAGAGTTACCAGTTTTGAACTGCTTCTTGTGTTCATAAGTAGGCAATTTATTTCTTGTCATCTGACCATGTAATTTCATAATCTGTATACACTTTTTTCAGTATCTCTGCAGTCACTGAATGATCTGCTTTTCCATAGCCCTGCAAGAAAGAACAAGTGCTTATTAGACACACACAGAAAGTAAGTCCACAGAACCATTGAGTTATTGTCAACATAAATTATCCAGTTATGATTTGATACTCCAAGTCATAGTTCACATACAAATAAATATAGGATCTAAAGCGTTATTCTTGCCATATCAAGTTTTATTTTTCTATTGTCCTCTAATTCCCTCCACTCTGATTTGTAAAAATAAATGAGATCAGGTCAAGTAATATCAAGTAATGCATTTTTCACATCCTGATTTCTTCAGCAGAAAGCTTGTTTTAAAATATTCCCTATCCCTCAGCTACCATATTTATTGAATGTTCTTTTAAACCAGAGATTGCATTGACCCACTTGAATGTATGAGCATAAAAACTGATTCAGCTCAGCTGAAGGAAAAGGGAATAAGAAGCCACATGTGTGAACATTAGAGTACTATTCTAGCCACTGAAGAAATCAGTCTTCATTTTTTTTTTTTTTTACTTATTTACAATCTTGTCTTAGCTGGTAACAGTATAATTTTAAGTATCTGCAAGTCCGAACTAAGGCAAGGTCAGATGACCCATCTGATTTTAATCCTCATTTAAATCACTGATCACAGTGTTACTCTTTCACTGAAATTTAAGAGTTGTGGTAGAAGGTGCCTTTTCATTATTGTCTTATGTGACTTAAGTTATCTTGATTTCATACTTCAGAACCACAAGTTTTTCCCTGTTAAAAAGCCTTTACTGCACAACAGTGCAGTCTACTGATAAAAACCTGTGATTTACAGGTTACTTTTTCCAGTACTATTTCACATGAAACATTTAACTTTAAGACTGAAAAAAAGAGCTCAAGATTGCATTATCAAAATATGTATTCTTATTCATCACTGACTCTGCCCCCCAAGAGGAACAGCTTAAGCAGCATTTAAACTGCACAAGTTAAAATTATTGATGCATTATAAACCACAAACTTTTCAAAAATACCAGATAGTATAGTTATGTCAGAAGCACAGCAGGTTTTATACTGTCAGTCATAAAGCAATGGACCTGCAGATCACTCTTGCCTTGGTAGTCACTCTGAAGACCCCATCTGGCTTTGCAAATAATAGCACAGCATCTACTTCAAAAGTAGTCAATGACTATTTCTCTGGCTTTCATAAAATACCAAGATAGGCCTGTTTTAGAGTCTGACAACAAATCCCCAGGAGATGCATTAAACCAACTTCATTAGTGTACTAACTCCTGACCTGCTAGTGAGGTCTGTCTCCAAATCACTGCCTGACAGAAGCCCTCATGGTAATAACTTTCCTTTTACATGGTGCTCATCTATAAGCATCAAGGTACCAAAAAGAAAGAAGGAAGGTATTTTCGTTAGACATTGTGTTACAAGATAAGGCTTTGGGCAACGTGGTCTAGTGGAGGGTGTCCCTGCCCACAGCAGGAGGGTTGGAACTAGGTGATCTTTAAGGTCCCTTCCAACCCAAACCATTCTGTGATTCTAAGAGCAGGAGTTGATCACTGCCTGTAACACTAAATTGGCAGCTGAAATAATGCAGGTGTCAGATCTCATCTAAAAATGCAGTTATGATGGGCACAATACTTTAGAATAAGCATTATACACTGCCTTCCCTCCCCATATAAATCCTAAAGAGTTTTTTTCCATATGATTCCAGGTGGCAAGAGTCATCTTAGAACAAAAGCAGCACTAACATTTAAAAAATGCTTAGCACATTCAAGGCCCAACCTTCACTGCTCATCCAGTTAAGGTAAGCAGATTTGAAGTAATCATCACTTCCTATAAAAAAAATCAATTAACAGAACTTTGTTCTTCTTTACAAGAGAAGCCTAGAATCTTTACTGACAGTATTACTACAGAAGTAGCTACACTTCATCACAGAGCAAGACCAGAAACAGATTACAACATGTTCCCCAAATTCAAGAAATTACAACTTAGTCTTTCATAAAGAAATTGAACTTGCACAGAACAGTAACAGGTGACAAAAATGTTCTGGTTTCAATTCTCTTAGAAGTTACTTTTAGTCCCACAAAATGCATTTATGTGAAACTATCTTCACCTACTAAAAATTCACCATACCTAAACCAAGTCTACTCTTCTCACCCAACACATACACAGAACATTCAAAATTTAGCTGGTCAACTACCAGCCAACATTTTTATTGGTAAATAAAGATCACACAATAGCTGGATCAAGACCCTGTGGCTACAAATGGGCTATTCCTGCTCTAGCAGTAACACTAAGATTCTGACTCAGAGAGATGCTAACTTCCATTTTTAGTCTTGATTATAACTTAACGCTGATATTGCTCAGCATATTATCTAGATATTAGTCAGCATTGTTAGCTATTATTTTTGCTTTGGTCTCCTGCCCTTAAAAATAGTGTTTTTCTAATTTATCTTACAAGTGAGACAGGCAAGTTTTCCAGTTAATGTTTACACTGTGATTCAAATTGCTGAAAGCCACAATACTATGAAACAAAATTCTCAGAACATCAGAGACAAAAGGATTTGAATACAAGAGATGCACTTACTGTAGAGAGCCCAAATACCCTAATTTTCTTGTCTTTGCTATTATGATCAATTTTCCCTCCTCCAAGGCACTTGCACTCATATCCCAGCTTTTCCATCTCAGGATTTACTTTTTCAAATATGTGATCTGCACAAGAAGAACGGTTAGAGCCATTAGAATACACACAAGGCCTCAAACGCTCTAGAACTCTTATTTTCAGGTATTTTCCTCTCGTTTTCCTCCAGTTCCCTTCCTTCACCTGCAAGAGGAGCTTTCTCTTGACATACATAGAAAAGCTGCTCTAGTTCAGTTTTTCACTTAGTTAACATATCTCATTCTCCTAAATGAGGTTTATCAGGTTTGGAAGCAGCACCTGACAGAAATATTGACCTGCTTTTCATATTTGCACAAGGCACCTATAAAGGGGGGATAAAAGAGGGCTTCTGAGCTACGCCCACTGACACCAGCCACAGGAGGCCGGGGGGTGTCCCCCCCGCAGTTGCGCTGGGACCCCGGCAGCCCCGTCCCGCCCCTGAGGGACGCTGCCGGAGAGCCCCGCTAACGGCCTCCCCCCCGCACCCCGAGGCCTGTCACCCACTGTGGAACTCGGCCGCCTTGGTGCCGCGGACGATGTCCCGCTGCTCCTCGCCGCCCGGGCGCTGCAGGCGCACCAGGATATACTTGAACGTGCCCTCG